CGCCTTTGATCTTTTCGGGACTTTAAAAGAATTCGGTATTTCAAATTGGTCTCCACAGCGTGTCGCTTTTCATTTTAAGCTGATAAAACATGCCTCACTCGGTTGTACTTTCCTATGTAAAATTTGATCGAAGTTGTACAAACACGCTGGAAGTGTTTATAAATACACGTGTTTTTGTTGAATGTCTTTGATGTTAAAGTTAAATCAGATAGAATCAGCCAAGTATAAATTTAAGTATTAATCGTGTATTGTGATGGGATGGCTTTTTGATTGACTTCATTTCACACTCAGCTAGACTATCATCATTGGGGGCCCTTTGTGGGGAACAACTTCAGTGACATTTTACTTTTTGGTTAGCGAATCCGAGTGATGCCCATAAGAAGCTGGTTGATCTCTTCGCATCACAGACGCTTAAGCATCTCTTCGCATCACAGAAGTTATAGCCGAGTGATGCACTAATTTGCAGGTGATTTTTCTTATCAGGGTGATGCCCCTATAAGTAACTTTTTTATATGAGTATTTTAATCCAAATCTTGATTCCTATGTGTGAATACATTATTTGATGAACGATTGTATGTTTTAGGGAATAATAATTTATGCATCTTATCGTAAATTGTAGAAAGTATGAAATTGCACACAGAAGCGTTAAACCTTGCTTATCAACATAAGGTCACTGCTTGTTTTAGAAGTAATCTAAATAACAGAGATATTGCATGGGCTCATTCATTAAGTAACGAGTGAAACATGTTTTGGTTTAAGTAACCACAGATTTTTTCGTTTTCATCTAACATTTTTTTTCATTAGGGGGAGGGGGTTGCTAATTAGGAATTGAATGCCGGGAAACAAAACACACCGTGACAGCTATATATGAAGCATTGTTCTATCTTCATCTCAGGGACCAATATGGCAAAGGTAATGAAATAATTGTCAAGTTTAAATTTATCAAATGTATTTGTGTAATAAAGTGCTAGTGTCTATAACTGTTCACACCTACACGGACCAACAGAACCAAAAGTTTACCGACAACACAATCTGTCCATTCCGATTTCGGCGCGTTTTTCTTAATTTAACTGTGTAAGCATTTCAATTTCAACATATATGAATACACGGGAAGCAAAGCCACCAGATATTTCAGGGCATCACTCGACTATGCTGACCAAATAAATTTGGGACATGAAATTGGCTATGGTCAATTTAGTCTGAGGGAATGTTGATTTACGTTTAAAAGAACACCAGAACACAACAAACGACGCAACTACTAAAGCTCTATACATACTGTATATATTTAGGTTATAGAGTGTATATATTATATATAGGTTATGTAGATTAGTGATTAGCAGGACAGTACTTTTTAGTGATTTTCAACGTACATGTATGCTTCCTGCTTGGTACATTTTTACATACATGGTTATCAACAAGTGTTCTAAATTATAGTTTTCTGTATGGTTGTTTGTTTTTAATTTAATGATGATCTTTATTGTCATATAAACAATCTTAATGTTTGTGTGACAAAACATGTATCTATCAATGCAATATAAAGCAAACATGAACCATTAATGCAGTAAAAAAAGATATATAAAATCATGAAAAATAAAGCTGATTCTTTCCTCAGTTTAAAAAAAACAGCAGATTAGTGTTGCATGTTCTGTTAACATAGGGTTTAATAATTTAAAACATTGTTCTTTTGGAAGTGACTTTTTTGCCATTTGATAAGGGAATTTCCGATTTGAATTTTCCTTGGAGTTCGGTATTTTTTTATTTTACTTTTTAAGTCCATCCTCCAAGTTTGACTTTTTTAACAATACAACTATTCTTGAATTTCAGGAGGAAATATTACTCGTTTTCAAGAACATTACATAGTTTGCAAATCCTATCTTCTATGGAAATTTTAAAATATTTAAGACCTTTTTTTCAATTTCAAGTTTGTGGTCACTTATACAAAGTTTGGTGAAACACTTTCGTGTAATAAAGTCGTGATACTTCAAGTAAAATTCTTTATCTGGACCCAGTTTGATATTTTTGTTTAAAAATAACTTACTTTTTTCATCATGGCTATATAATAGGTATTGTATAGAATCCTGCTTTTAATATAAATATAATCGCAATAACATTGTTTGTCCTTTGCCCTGAAATGAGCCCCTGAATGTACACATTTTATATTATGGGAGAATGTTTAACATAAAACGATGTTCTAAGCTTTAAATTAATATAAATGAATTCTAATGTTACAGATTGAATAGAATATTTGTGAATAATTATATAAATTTGTTGACAATTGTTGCTGGTAATCGGTTGGGATTAAACAGTGTGAAATGGGGACATACCGCAACGATCCAATCTCACCGCATGTAAAATATGTATAGATAAGAAGATGGTACATGCTGGCTGGTAATTACTATTTGGGAAATACAACGCAGAATGTGCACCTTTACTTGATCAAATTGATGAATAAAGCTTCAGGAGAAAGTTAAGATACGACTTGTGTGGTACATTCACTGTAAAAAAGCCAAAGGTGTAAAATTACCTAGCTGCTCGAAAAGCATACGAATCAGGTTTGCAGGAAAAAATTTCCAGGCGTGGTTATTACACTAATAATTTCAGATAAAAAGAGAAATATGATGTTGCTAGCGATAATAAATAAAAATATTTAATATGTAAGTAATAAGTAAACTTCTTACATGCAGTAATAAAAATTGTTGTTGAGATTTTTTTTCAAAGGGACAGCAACTATTTAACAAAATAAAAAAAGTTGTCAAGATATGGTCTTCAGTGACAGACTTTTACATACCATATAAGTTACTATATATCAAACTCTAAATCATCTCGCTGTGAAAAAAATTCAACAAAGAGCAATGGTAGACTCTGCAAAGTGCCTGGATAAAGGGAGGAAATTTGAACTGCCTATGGATAAAGGGAGGAAATTTGAACTGCCTATGGAAAATGGGGACATATTGCATGGAGTAGAAATTTTGACTTCAACAAACGTCTTGGGTAGAAGCAAACTCATTAACTTTTTTTTAAGTATATTAAAAATCTATTTATTATTTTTACTAGCTACTTGATGATGATGAGGATGATGTTGGATGGCTACGTCCAGCGGCAAATTGATATGCATATTCAGGACGAGAACATGTTAATGTAATTTGAATATTAAACCTGCTTTGTACTAGACCGACATGCTGAGTCGGATTTTTAACGTGCTAGTTCACAAGGTAACAGTTCGCAGGAAGACATGTCACCTTAATTACCCGGACACGTGCTTAGCGGAGAAGCAGCAAATACCAATTTTAAAGTCTTTGGTTTGGCCCGGCCGGGGTTCGAACCCATGACCTCCCGCACTCGAGGCGAACACCGTCTAATTGGGGGTATAAATATATCTGTATTGTAGAATTAAGTTTTAACATGGTGTATACATGTTCGCACTCATTATTACATTGAATTAAAATATAATTGTAAAGATACACCAGAATACTAAGCTAAACAGGTTTTCTCATGGTAACCAAACCAGATTTTAATATGACAATCTAATCACGCTAAAAAAAATCTTAAACCTTTACTAGAAATAATATCAGACTTCATGACATTTGTTCATCGAAATCTAAAACCCGGCTATACGATATATAAAATCAAGGAGATAAGGTATGATTGCCGATGAGACAACTATATATCCACCAAAGTTCAAATAAAGTAGATGTAAGTAATTATACGTTCGGCCTTCAACAATGAGAAAAACACATACCGCATAGTCGGCTATAAAAGGCCCTGACATGAAAAATATGAAACAATTCAATTGAGAAAACTATAACAAGCAATTAACGAAAACAAATATGACAGACATGAACCAACGACACAACCACTGAACTACAGGCTCCTGACTTGGGACAGACACATAAAGAATGTGGCGGGGTTAAACGTGTTTGTCGATGACTATTTCCGGATTCCAAGTTATGATTGGATGAAGACTATGTATTTCCTCCCTAATTACCTTTCTAGTTATATAGAAAGTCGATGTTCATTCATACGAAGGCGTTTTTTAGTTCTTAACGATACTGTTCACATAAATAAGTAAAACATTAGTATACTTCTAAAATGCGTAAAACACCAATCAGTTAAAAAAGAAAACTAAAATACAAATATAATCATATTTGTAATGTGCCACTCCAACATATTGAAAACTGTAAATTCAGATAAAGAACATAGTTTTTTTTTTAACATTTTTATTCTTTTGTGTAACATATAATTTCCCATCAATTTTAACTCCGAACCACCCATATATATATGTTTTCGCCCTTAACTATTATAGTATGGAAATTTATTAGAAGTTAATTTTGGAGCACCGATTGCTAAATGAACCATTTAACATTTTTGGCGTGATTATTTTTTGTCTTGTGGTACAAAAATCCATTCAACAAATCAGAATAAACTATCTTTAATGTGCATTTAACATTTTTTTCCCGTCTTGTCGTTTTTTTTAAAGTAATCGAAAAATAAGTCTGTAACAACGAAATTAATTAGTTCATATTAAAATTCATTTCTATTATAAAAACTTGTGGTTTGAAACAATCAAAACATTTTTTTATGACAAGCCCAAAAATGCAAATGGAAAATTTTAAGGAATTTTAATGACTCCTTTGTATTATACCGATGTTTGTCAATCTTGCTTCTATTTTTTTCTTTAGTCCAGGGGTCAGTTGGTGTATTAAAGGGTTATATATCACAAATAGTTCAGATGAGCGTGTACAATGCAAACAAATAGAAATCCGATATTTTTTCTTTGATTTATGTATTTTGTTTGTTGAATTTGTTTAATTCAAATATTTGCGTATATTAACTTTAATATTTCAAGTGGAAAGTAAGGTAATTTTGTTCGTAAACTATAGTAATTCATAAAAATTACGAAGGCGTGGTTTGAGAATCCGCCAGTAACGCCTCTCTAATAACATAATTCTTTATGAGTGACGAGTACATAGGATTTAATTTAATTTGTCAGAGTTTACAGACACGATTTAAATTTTAAATTTACTGATTGGAATTATCACTTTTGATTTGTAATTTAATTAATACCTTTTCATCCGACGTTGATGACTGTTTGTTGGGCGGGAATTAACAGCCTTGTCGTCTGTGAGATTTTTATGAATGGATTTGTCAAATGATTAAGTATTAAATGGATTATAACGTTATGATGATTTATAAATTCACCTGAAAATCAGCACTCAATTTTATGAATGAAAACAAGTGCACGTGGTTTTTTTTCTTCTTTTGAGAATGTATAAATAAGCCGAACCAGGAAAGTAGCTTTTTCCGATAAGCAACTGAAGAGAAATAATAATAATAATTTTATTATCAATGAATTAATGTGTATATTTGTAGACTATTTATAAATAATGGAGAGATACACACTGATAATCATAACAGTTTTTGATTTATCGTTTGGTATTATGAACCACTATAACAATAGACGGAAAGACATCTGTGAACCAATCCAGATACCAATGTGCCAACATATGAAATATAACATGACACGGATGCCAAATCTTCTGCATCACAGTTCACAAGAGAATGCAAAGTTACAAATTGAACAGTTCACAGAATTAGTGGATCAGAAATGTAGTGACGTTTTGTTGTTTTATCTTTGTGCAATGTATGCACCTATATGTACAGTAAACTTTCAGTCCGAACCTATCCCGCCATGTCGAAGTGTCTGCGAAGAAGCACGTGCAGGATGTGAACATATATTGAATGAACATAATATTTCATGGCCGGAATATTTAGACTGTTCGTCACTGCCAAGATATGATAGAGGAGTTTGTGTCAGACCAGCAGCTATTGTTCCTTCTTTAGGAAACAGTTAGTATTATTTTTATCTCAGAATTTAAATTCAACTTTTAGAAATGTTCTAATTTTAACCAAATTTGAAGTTTTTCCCCGTTCTTTTCCCTCTTTCACTTCTTCCTCCCGTAAAACCTAACCCCCGAAATTTGCAGATCTCGAAAACCCTACAATGCAATAATACAAGATCAAAACAAATAAATATTGTTTATTTCGTATTGGTTAAGGAAACGTTGAAATCTACTTTATCAGTTTTTATGACATTCAGCTCACATAAATTAATAATTTTGTCGGAATATGATTGAAATTTATGCAAATTATTTTATTTCATCACGAAAATCAAATTTTCAGACATAAAATCAGAGATAGACGTATAATAAAATTATAATTTTTGCCCTTGTTTTAGTTAGGTTAAGACCAATTTCATAAAGTTTTATTTGACTTGTTGAACCGCATAAGTAAGCTAACTGAGAAGAAATTTCTCATATTTTTTTTAGCATAGTTTATAATGATAAGCTGCAACAATTATGTCATGAAAAATGCTAATTAATGATATTTTAGTCTTAGATGCATGATTTTTTTTATTAGTTGTTCTTGGCTTTGAACTAGCTGCCAGTAACTGCGAGTACTCTCAGATCTGTACTTAGTGTCTTTTTGTTGTGGGGATGTATAAGTACCCTGCCACCTCCACTCTGTGTTTTTGTTACTTGTTTTTGTGCTTTGTATCTATCCGATGAGTTAAGCCCTTTTCAACTGATTTTTATAGTTTGTTCATATGTTGTACTGTTTCACCACTGTCCCAGGTTAGGGGAGGGTTGGGCGCCCGCTGACATGTTTAACCCCGCCTCATTCTATATGTGCCTGTCCCAAGTCAGGAGCCTGTAATTGAGTGGTTGTTGTTTGTTGCTGTCGATCATATGTGTTGTTTGTTTATTGTTTTGTACAGTTCTTGTGTTGTTCTGTTACACCACTGTTCCAGGATTAGGGAGAGGGTAGGGCGCCCGCTAACATGTTTAACCCCGCCACAGTCTGTATGTGCCTGTCCCAAGTCAGGAGCCTGTTATTCAGTGGTTGTCGTTTGTTACTGTATATCATATTCTCATTGGCAATCATACCACACTTTCTTATTTTTATAAAACTACACAATAACGTATGACATATACCATGGCATTGTTAGATAAATACTAGAATAGGTTGGTCAAATGTTCCTGGCACAGAATCAAAACAGTTCATGAAAATTAGTGCATGGAAATGTCTCAACCATATACAAAAAGGTTTCGTTTTTAATTGTTTTTATTTACTGAGAAAAGTTTAATTTTCAGTCAGTCTTGCACGTTGTTGTTGACAATTATTTTAATAAGATATAAATAAAAAAATTACACTATTTACATATTACATTTCATTGAAAGACATCCGAAACCAAAATGAATTTATTTGTTCCTGAAAGACAATACATACAATTGTGCTCATTGTTGAAGGCCGTATGGTGACCTGTTGCCAACTTGTACGTCATTTGGTCTCTGATGGAAAGTTGTCTCATTGGCATTAATACCACACCGTCTTAATTTTATATAGCTCTAGGTTTTCTTGGATTGTTTATTTTGTTTTTGATATATAGTGTTAAATATATAGGTATTTATTTTTTAACGATCTTGCATTTTGCGAAACAATCTATTTGGACCTGTGTACTTATAATGATTTATAATTTTTCTATTCATTAGAAATAGGAGTTCTTGTATTTAGGTAAAGGTTGATTCTGCTACCCTTCAGGAGCATCTGCGTTGACTCCCACGATTCTACTATTCCTTCAGGAGCACGTGAGATCACTCCCGGTTTTTATTGTCGAAGGCCGTACGGTTGCCTATAATTGCTTACACCCACTTCGTTTGAACTCGGGCGGATAGTTGTCTCATTGGCAATCATACCACATCTCCATTTTATAAGGGTTCATATAACTCAATTTTAATTTTTGTGAAGTCTTTTGGACAATTGTTTATCTATAAGCATCTTTTCTGTTAGGGATGGTTTTGTCTGTATTTCTCCGATTTGTGGGTTTTGGATAACCTCCTTGGTGTCTTGTTCGCCCTTTTTTGAAAAACTTTTTAATATTTTTTATGACCCTCTTGGGGAAAAAGATAATAAACGTAACCTTCCCCTTTGTATCGTGAAGATATATTTTCTCAAAGTTTCTAGCAAATTGAATTAATTTACACATTAAACATTTATTTAATGTAATATAGGTTACCATTATTAATCTCTGCGAAATGTTGGTTCTATATAAATACCATAATTTATCATATATTACATGCAGTAGCTCATTCTTTTGTGAATAAATTAAAAACTTATCGAAAGTAGTTTAGAGAGTATTATTTATATTGAACACTTTGAGAGAGAAAAACGCAAAAAAGACCGTGGTATCCGTCGACACAAGCCAAGTTTTCTTCCATGAAGTTTGTCATTAGTTATATGCAAAGTAAGTTATTTACCCTGGCATAATAACATTTGTCTTCTCAAATAAGTCTGGAGTATATATAAAAACTCAAGTCTGAAATTATATTAGATCCATAATCAATTGTTTTCCAAAGATGATAATCAGTTCTTATGTTCTTCTTAATGTTTGCAAATTCAAAAAACACCCATTGATAAAATATAAACAACGGAACAACATCTTAAAGACGGCTGGCACTATCAACACACCTTATCACAGTCAACCTCGCAAGTTAATAATAAAGGTTGAGCCAATTGGTTAATAGTACGGTTGAGAACATACAGTAGTTTGAGTTTGAGTTTTTTTACGATTAAAATACATGTATTTAGAATTTTTTTTAAGCGGCAAAATATTTTCATAATAAACAATACCTCTTCCAACAGTAAATTTTGATAAGACCACACATGATAACCAGGGCGTTATTTATACTATCGTGAAAGTGCATATGTAAAACTAAAGCTAGAAGTCTAATAACAGACAAGTAAATGTGTGATGTGTTAAAAAAAATAAAACGTGAATAGCGTATAATTAATCTAGCGTTGTACTTATTATTTGGTAGCTATTTTAAATGGTAAGCAATACAAGTCTGCAATACATTTACTTAAACGAACAGCCAAAGCCAGAGCCAGTAGAAGTGATTTTGTATGAATATTCGGTTAATCACTTCTTATCTGTGACAAAATTCCTGACTGCTAGCTTAATCTGAAAATGAAATTGATACTGACTAAATTTGGTGCGTCCAATTTAGAGCGCTTTCCTGGATTTACCTTCAACAGGAACGCTGAAACCCCAAAATATTGATAGCCAAGGAAGTATAAGTTCTTGAACCATGTATCGCGAAGATTTATATGACCAAAAGGGGGCCTAAAGAATGGACAAAGCCATCTCTGGTCAACTTTACCTGAACTCTCTCGTTTGATCTAATACAAGTTACTAAAAAGTCAGAACAAAAGTTTCCTCCCCTATATGCAATCTATGCAAAAATAGAACCTTGTATACGCAAGAAAGTAAAGCATTTGCTACGCGCGACGCCGATAAGTTAACATGAAAAAAAAGTAGGAAGGAAAGTAACTAATATAAAGACAACTTGATAAGAAGTATATATGCCACGAGCTATAATAGTTAACCGATTGATTTTTATTTGGGGGGCATACTCGTATTGTTATATATCGATATTTTTCTATAGTTGAAATAATAATAAACTTCTAAAATATATCGCATAGTAACTGAATTAACTTATACAATTTTCTGTTTCATCATACAATCTAAATTAAATTAATGTTTGAACTTGTTAATTCTGTCCTCAAGTGTTGAATTTACACGAAATAAATGTACTTCAGGTTAAAATGGCTTGTGTATTGGACATCAAACAGGATGTGTGTTTCTGATTGATGTAGTAAGCTAAGACCTAACACGCGCTTTACTTTTATAAACATCAATTGGATTAAGATCAGTCGAAATCATTTGACGCTTCAAATTGCAAATATTTACATACTGACAATGTTTATACGTAAATGTCTTTGTCATCTTCACTGTAAAGTTCAGTTCAAACGTTGCTTTTCACGCCAATCATACGAAACAAACAAAAATATCTATGTTGCGTGAAGATGACAGAGATCCTCAGCTCTTTTGATATGAAGGTACGAAATGTCATCAAGTATTTGAGATGACAAATTGTCTAATTCACGTGTCGATTTTCTTAAATTTTCATTTTACATCGTTGACCTGACTATATAAGATAGGGATATGAATAATTGATGTGGGATATATTTGAAGTTAAAGGAAATTACATTTAAAATTGAGACGACAAATTTTATTTAGAAAGAAGTGTAGGGGGTTATTTTTGTCAAAATAGGAGATAGCGGGAGCCTTTGAAGTTTTTCTTCATCTCTACTTAATAAACTGTATTTAAAGTAAGAAGTGATAAAAACTTACTGAATAAAAACTTAATTAAATCTGAAATTTTAGTAACTGAAAAATGGACATGTAGCCTTTGAAAAGCACACCTGTCGTTATACGAACGAAAACTCTCTTTAATTTTCAAACTTTTGTATAGTGTTTTCGTCAAGAGTAATGACAGTAAGTTTAGCTCCCCATGAACATCATTACAAGTTTTCTTTGGTTTGACGAACTGTTAAGTGCTTTAGATCATTATATGTACATAGAAGATAAGTTAAAAAAACCATTGAATCTACACAATTTATTTCTTACATTTGACGGGGAATCAGAGAACCCAAATTGTACAACAATTGTAATGATTAAATAACAAAATAAAATTTCGTATTGTGAATTTTCCTTCTCTGTGGCAAAGCTTTTACTGATCTGTTTAGACTTTGTGCTCCTGTGTTTACATTTCTTCTGGTTATCCAAATCAGAAATCAACAAAATTATTTTCATTCTGTACAACTCTGAATGAAGAGGATGTTCAAACGATTTTTGCTTCAATGTCTTCAATCACTGTCATTAAAAGTTTGCAACAAATAATGGTAAACGCAGGAACCAGTGTTTTGCAAGATCGAAAAAAATTCTTACATCTTATCAGAAATCATACCGAAAAACCTAACGACAAGCATATGAACAACTATAAAAGTCACCGTGCGAATCAAACAAAATCCCTATTTCCATGACAATATTATCATTTCCATTCTTCGGTTATCACATTTTAAAATGGTTAAGGTTTCACTCTAACATCCATAACAATGGGCAACTTGCTTATTTTACATGAAATGTAGTGTTAATATAGTATATACATGGTATATAGTATATGGTCAGTTCCAATTTACTTTTGTTTTAAATATAAAATTCTGAATTACTCTTATATTAATCATTGAATATAAGTTTTTTTTACCGCAAAAATGATTGATGTTTCAGAACCAGAGTTGTCATACCATGCACCCTTCACTGTGTTCATTATTAATAAATGTTGTAAAATTCCATTGCAGAAGATAAGTCAAAGTTGGACAGTCGAGGACCAAACAACAAAATTACAGACTTTGATTTGTCAAAAGAAAGTTATTATGAAGGTATATAGTTTTGATATATTACTGTTAGATAGATAATAACGTGAATGGGACCAACTTATTTCACAACGAACCTTTCAGTGTACGAGAAATGATTGGTGCATGCGAACCTAAATTGGTTGATTGCTTTTTTTTGCGAACTGATAGAACGGTAAACTATATACCAATCAACCGTCTTATCAGTTGGCAAAGAATGCCAATCCAGCATTTCAGTTTCATACATCACGCAATCATTTCTCGGTTTGTCATCTCAGTGCATAGACGGTTCGAGTTATTTGTAATCTGTTATGCAACTTAAATTTTTGAGCCCTGTTTTAAAGTCAATAAGGTCGGAATATGATATATAAATAAAACACTACATATCGTGCTAATTAATATAGACCAGGAAATAGTCATATCTAATAAATTAGTTTGATCTAACAAGTGTTTAATAATTAGTTCCTTTAGATTTACACAGTACCATATCATTGTCCTTTTTATCTTGAATATCTATTATTCAACGATTCTATAACAAGTACAGATTGGCGACATTAATATTTTTGTAAACCTTCCCTCCTATAGTTAACTTTGGTCCCCTCTTATTAAACTAAATTGACCCGCTGATGAAGGTACATTAAGTTACGCTTGTAAATGGCCATCAGGGCATGTGTCAAACGAAATATAATTTGTACCTAGCTATTAACACCTAGTGGCGTATTATTACGAGAACTAAACCTTTCATCGTTGTTTGTAAATGATATTTAATTTTGAGTTTATCTTCTCTCCCTTTTATCTCATGATTACGGATAAGATAAGGGGAAATCTTTGTTGAAACAGTTAATTCATATGCATAGTTTGTGTATGATAATTATTTATTTATGTTCTTGTCTAGAAAATCCCTTTCATATGACAGTAACGAGGTATTATTTCTGTCATTTTCTTTTGACAATAATACGTCTCCCTGTGACATATACTTATTAACTTACAAAACATCCATGATAGAGCTTGCCATTTTGAACTCTCGTAATGTTGTGCGTTCTTTATGATCATATCAAAAGAATAAAAACTGGGTTAATAAATATTTAGTTGTATAATTAATTAATTAAGCATATTTGGTGAAACCGGTGTCTTCTTTGTTAACATTTTCAATTATAGTACTTTGACCACTTCCGGACGTTGTAAAATTTTTAATGCTACGTACGTTTATTCTAAGAATAAAAAATGGATACTTAGCCATGAACTTTTTAAAAAGTCCAGCTTTATATAAAGTTGATCAAAAATCAAATATCATTTAAAGGAGGTGTGGTGTGTACGTCAATGAGCCAGCAACCCAACTACACAAATAACAATAAGCGTCTGTGTAAAACATAATTATTAGTCCTTCAAATTGTATTAATCTTTTTCCCAAAAGAAAAACATCCTATATGACAGACTTTATTCCACGACTGAAATGCGCCCAAGATCCTAGATGCATGCTATATTTTCCCTGATTTGCTATGTAGACAATTAATTGGTTCCATCTATACAATGTCGTTTGATTGTCTCATTGGCAATCATTCCACATCTCCTTATTTTTATAATGAAAGAAATTATAGTGTGCGGAAAATGTAAAGAGCGTTGGTCTGTCCTTTTACCAACATAGACAACCGAGAGAACAAATATATTAACAAAATACTTGACATCAATTTCCCAGTAATTTGTAGCATATTCAGCAATACCTGTATATGGAGTTTATATTTGTACTTATCGTGAGGGATAGAAGTGGTTTTGTTGGTTTCAGACTAGGATAATATTTTAAGTTCGAGAAAAGGAACCATCATAGAAGCATTGGTGCTAGAGTCATAACAGACAACAACAAAAACTTAAATCTACGGTTAATTCAAGTAAGCAACTGAGCTCAGGTTTTCAAATCCGTCATTCGGAATTGTTACGGAGCCATAAGGCCTTGTTTGTCTGTAATTTAACATCTTTGCAAGATTCCGGTTGACGTATTAAGTATTTTTTTCTTCCCGATCTTTTCTAATTGGCTGATTTGAAGTATTGCATATTATACTATGAGTAACTGCAACATGAAGAGCTTGGTACTCTCCAGTCTAAGTTCAACCCTGTACTGAAGAGCTTGGTACTCTCCAGTCTTAGTTGAACCCTGTACTGAAGAGCTTGGTACTCTCCAGTCTTAGTTCAACCCTGTACTTTTCTGTGCAATGTTTAGTTTATTATCTTCCTTTAAGGCCATGGTATTGTTTTTCGATGTACAGTTTCTGATTGACCCTTTAGTTACTTATTTGTTTCAGTACTTTGTCAAATGTTCCTCAAGAACACATTTCTTCCAATGCATAAAAAATTTGTGACAAATACTATTAAACAAAGTTTGATCAGGAAAATTAGTTTTTAAATTTGCATTATTTGTTACCAGACTGTAGGTGTAACAGAAAATCAAAGCTTAAAAGAAAGGCATATAGAAAAGGAAAATATCATTTTTGTAAGTATGCTTAACAATGTTATATTTCTATCATGTAGGATTCATGTGCAAAATTACTTGATGAGAGTAAAGGTAAAAACTGCTCAGATTGTTTCGTCTGACATTCTTCCAATCACCAAGCTTGTTAATGCCTCCATCAAAAGAACAACAGAAAACTTGGTACTATGAATAACTGTCTACATAAACTCCAATTTAATGTGTTTTATATCACTTTTCTTTGTAAAAAGTATTTCGTAAAAAAGTCCTTAATATAAAATTAAATATATATATTATATATCAATACACTTCACATTTATGAAATGAATATACGGTGGTACAATTTTTTTTTTAATAATTCCGCTTTTTCTGAATTCATCGGTCAATAGACTTCAGACATGCACAAAGCACCAAAGGAAAAGTCTGTATTATAGAAATGAAACCATTTTGGGATCACGCAATTTCCCAATTAAAAGAAATATCCTTTGATGTTTATATAATTCTTAAATCACCCATTTTGATATAAATCTAGTGAATATGTTATTAATTTATCCGTAAAACTCTATCTACGTTCAGTATTTATTCTTTTATATTTGTAGCTTTCATTCTCGTTTAGTAAATTTACATCTCGAGTTCATCTAGTCCTCACTTAAGTTCTGATCAATATTTGAACAATTCCGAACTGTTTTCGTAAATTTGGCGACAAGATGAAATTCGATAATTTTTCTTTGATCTTAGAGCTGTTAAAATCTACCCTCAGATGACCAATTCTTTTTCACAATACTATTTCATTAGATTAATCAGATTTCAATTAGATATTATAGATTGCACTGTGAAGTTCAAAATAGAGTGATTTCGATTCCGATTTGTTGATAGATAAAATGACTGTAAAGTTTTATCGAAATTGAATTTTAGTTACGATTTACAGTTAACTTGATTTCAATTCAACTAAGGGAAAATATTTTTGTTTTTTATAAAATCGTTATAAAGTACATTAATGATTACAGCGACAAAAAATAGGACAAAACAAAATTTGGTCCCGACATATTTCTGATTATCTAATTGAACTTTATGTTTGAAATTGTAAGCGTTAAATACGAAAAGATATAGAATGAACATAGTGGCAATAGATACAAATTATATTCTCCTTATATTTGGGAGATATGCATATAAAAATATCAACCCAAAGATATATACTAGGCTTATAATTTGGTACGCAATGCACGTGTTTCGTATACATAAAACACATGAGTGCTCGAATTAAGAAGTTGGAAGGCTAAATCCATTACACATGTACGAAGTTACGGAGTTGTTAGAAATTCATTTTCCACGAGAACATCGCCTAAGATCAGACAACTTTGAGTGTATAGGAGTTTCAACTATAACATTATTCATAAACTGATGATCTCGTCAGTATTGAAACACCAATGGTACCCTTTGGGACTTACAGTCCTCTAACAGCTAGATAATAACCCTGCTTGACGTAAAGTGCGGTGAATATATTATTACGACACACAACGTTATCAAGTGTTAAGTTTCAGTTAGAGTGTTGAAACAAATAAGAACGAGTTTTCATTAAATAAAACAATTACAATCTCATTTTATCGAAAATAAAGTTCCATTTCTCAGTACTGAGCTGTATCAACCAAAACGACGCAATGGAAATTATTGTAAGCGTTTTGATACAAAATAGAAGAAATATGAAAACATTCATTGCTGGCTCGTTGGAATAAAGGGTAGGTAATACCATAGAAGTGTCATATTGATGTTCATTTTATTTCCATGGTAATATAAGGAAACATTCAATGACCTTGAGCTTTACTCTTAGTAAATATGATATTCTTGGGTAAAAAAAAATCTGTTAACACCTCATTTAAAGTCATTTTGATTGTTCAACGATATACTGATTTCTTTGTGCATGGATAAAACTTAATCAGCACGCTCATATATATGATGGACAGATGGCAATTTCAACACTTTTAGTTATAACATATTAATAAAAAGTTAGTCTTTATTTATATTTTTAAAGACACATTTAAGGAAAGTTGAGAAAGATCTTTTTAAAGAAATTTTCCAGAGAACATATCTGAAAATATCCTGTTTCATCTTTTCGATCAATTTCTTTTAAAGTAAATATAAAAAGTCCTCAGCAGAAAAAATATTTTTCCACTTAAGATTTAAAGTCATATAAATTAGGTAAATATGTTTTTAACAAAAAGTACTTGCGCCTTTTCTTTTGATTAAATTTAAACAGCAATGTTAAATTCCTACTTACATTTACAAATTATCGAACTAAAAAGATTAACTTTTTTACAAATTTAAATTCAAATCAGCACGCATGCTTTAAACGCCTTAAGTAGATCGGTAGTGTGTTAGAATGAACATTTAAATAAGTCGGGATATCACTGTCTTCCTTTTGCTTGACAAATCATTATGGTGTCGGGGAAAATGCAGGTGTTTTTCCTTGAGAAATGTTAAATTGTTACACCTGTCTAACTGACGTCTAAAACATATCAGTAAAATTTCTGAAATGCAAATATGTTTATACCAAACAAACAAAAGACTAGATGAAAAAAAAGCAGTTGATATAATTAACACTTTTAATATTTAGAATAATTACGACATAAGTGAAGATATATATAAAAACACTTCTGTAGACATGAGCGTTGTAAAAAGTAACTGGGCACCATTTCGTTAAATTTTTACATATATATATAAAATGAAAATTTGTATACGAATTAAAATCAACTTATAAGAAGGAGCCTCGCCAAACATCACCTTCACAAGAAGGAGCCTCGCCAAACATCACCTTCACAAGTAGGGAAACAATATTAAAATTAAGTGAAGAACACGAAACAATAACAAAGACATTTGTGTTTGATGAATGTTGAGCTAAGAACACTTTCCTGTGCCCTTTAACTGCTGCCAATTCAGTTGCGTGATGGCATTATTCACATATGATATGCATTTTTAAACTGATATTTGGTCTAAGTCCATTTGTCTTCGACATATGAGTTTGAATATCCCTTTGGTATCTCCCGCCTCTGTTGTTGAAGTTATGAAAGTGGGTGATGACCGTATGACAACAACAAAACAAGCACAATGCTGGAAACGAACTCAACGTTGAGGAATGTCGTTAAAATTGTATTTCACGTCGTCTATACTGTTTCTATACAAATTGTATTTGTTTATTTCAGCAATAAGAGGAGTCGTAAAAGGACAAGCAATTGCAAATACCATTAATACGGTTACCAGAGTAACTGTCGTAAAAGTTTACCGAAGTACTAGAGTACACATACAAGAAGGAAGTAGTATAGAATTATGGACAAATTCGACGTGTGTTTGTCCGGAACTGACGAAGAGGAAGGAGTATTTAATTGTTGGATATGAAGATTTATCAACACAAAGACTTTTGTTTTTAGACAGTTGTTTATCCGTCAAGTGGAAAAACAAATTAGATCGACGGATAAAGGTAATTCAAACAAATTCAAACAATACGTAGGTGATCACTATTTAAGTAACCGATCCTTTTTCTTGCATGTTTTATTTAGAAGTTTAAAACAGTTTTCTGTTTATAATTATAATTGTTCAAGTGCACTGTATACCCTAGATACATTGTATGATGCTTGGAAGTCTTTAATCATTTAAAGAAGATGTAGTATGATTGCCAATGAGACAACTTTAAAACAATGACCAAATGAAGTTTTTTTGTTGTTGAATTTAAAGTTTCATAGAATTATCTAATGAACTCCTTCAACTGATTTTTACTCCGATTTTTATAGATTGTTCTTATATTGTACTATTACACCACTGTCCCAGGTTAGGGGAGGGTTGGCCCCTTCAAACTAGTTTAACCCGCCACAGTCTGTATGTGCTTGTCCCAAGTCAGGAGCCTGTAATTCAGTGGATGTCGTTTGTTGCTGTGTTACATATTTGTTTTTCGTTCATTATTTTGTACATAAATCAGGCCGTTCGTTTTCTCGTTTCAATTGTTTTACATTTGTCATTTCGGGGCCTTTTATAGCTGACTATGCTGTATGAGTGTAACTTTTACTCATTGTTGACGGCCGTACGGTGACCTATAGTTGTTAATTTCTGTGTCATTTGGTCTCTTGTGGAGAGTTGTCTCATTGGCAATCATACCACATCTTCTTATTTTTATCATTAATTCAATATATAATTTGATTTCAAAATCCTCATTATAGCCTTACAATCGCACACCCTAGGTTGAGGTAAACGTTACGCCCTCAGAGTTATTTGTCTTCATTTCACCGTTCACTTTTTACTATCTTTAAATAGTTCGGTTCCCATAGTTGGGTAGGAATTTTGAAGTTCTTTGTAAGATTCTCGTTTGTCAAATCTCTCGATGGTTTTATGACCCGAAGAAATACCAAAAAATAGTGTCTTACTTTACCATTAACTTTTATTTTCAAAGGCAACAGAAACGATTTTTGATTTTTTACGACAGACATTCTGGTCATACTTTTTAGTGTGCTAGCTTGGCTTTAAAATATTAGCCTTTGAGCGTTCCTGATGACGGTAAATCCAGAAAAGCGCTTTGGACTTGTTATTACATGTTGTTTTACACGTGTCGTCTGGGACTTGTTATTAGGTGTTGTTTTACACGTGTCGTCTTGGACTAACTTGTTATTATGTGTTGTTTTACACGTGTCGTCTGGGACTTGCTATTAGGTGTTGTTTTACACGTGTCGTCTGGGACTAGTTATTAAGTGTTGTTTTACACGTGTGGTCTGGGACTTGTTATTATGTGTTGTTTAACACGTGTCGTTTGGAAATTGCTATTAGGTGTTGTTTGATATGTGTCGTCCGGGACTAGTTATTATGTGTTGTTTTACACGTGACATCGGGGACTTGTTCTTATGTGTTGTTTTACACGTGTCGTCTGGGACTTGTTATTATGTGTTGTTTTACACGTGACATCTTGGACTTGTTATTAGGTGACCAGTGTTAATGGGCTGCTAATGTTTTGTTTTATTTTGTTATTTTTGTCGTTTTTTTTTTTTTATTTTCAAAAATATTTGCTATCAGACATGGTCATTTACTACTTGTAATTAACTTGCATGACAACCTGTTTCTATATTGAATAAGATGAAACTTCTTAAATAGCAGTAAATTTCTGACTGATCGTGAAAACCGTCTCGATACAAATACTGACACTTCTATTACGTCTTTTTAAAGCAGATAATGTTTATTTTTATCTGTGGAATGCACTTGCTGCAGAAAAACGCATTGAAAGTTCACAATGGTCAATTAAACTTTATTGGAAAATGCAGTGGTTTATTAAACAAACATTTTGGGATCACCAAAGATGTGTTTTATGTTTTTCTTCATATGCTGATTATGGAGGATGTTATTGTTAATTTTATATGAACAACAGGAAATGACAGACATACGTCAATGATGCAGCAACCCAACGACAAAATAATTCAAAAGAAATCTAGAGGGCAACACACAGTTTTCAACAATTGACAGGTGTCTATACGATATGTCAATCGTCACAAGATTATAAGGGTTTTGAAATAATACTATTGAGAAATAAACAAAAATCTGCTATCAACACCCAATTCTCAAAATTGAGAAATAACATTAATAGACGATAGAGAGAAACTGTAAACTGAAGAAAAAAATTACGAGCAATACAGGATCAACAAAAAAGAGATTTTAGTCATGAACTATATTCTAGTCTACAATGTGGAGAGTGTCCATTATTGAAGAAGCACATAGACTTAGGTGAACGATCACAGCCGGACGCTTTAGAGCCTCTTGTTTGTATATATCTCCACCCGACCGCTTTTTAGTCACCACTGAAAATCTGTCTTTGTTTTTGTTAGTCTTACTCTTTAAGCAAATCAAATAATGTTTCTCTCCCGTTGATCAAAGCTAGACATACCCAATCGGGAACCGAAACACTTTTCAGGATAAGCTTTGGCGGGAAACTACCAGAACCGAGTGTTTTGAAAACAGACCAGAAGGGACCTAACAAATTTACCTAAAGCGTCTCAGTTGAACTTTGCAAGAAAGTGTTTGCACGTTAGATTTTTGTGAAACTTGCACTAATTATACTTGCATGACTGTAAGATGGTTATCTAATTATCAATTGTCTTTCAGAATTGGGAAAAGAAAATAGCAAGAAGTAAACGAAACCAGAAATGTCGTAGGAAGAAAGGAAAACGGTGCAGAAAAAATAGAAAGAACAACTCAAAGAGAAATAAAACCAAAGAAAATAGAAGGAATAAAATGATCAGGTAAATATACTATATCATTCAAGGTGAATTTGTTTTGGGACCAGCACATAAACAGGTCTTTAGTCATGATTCAAGCTTCTAAATTGTGAACTTTCCATTTCTATGTAGCAACATTCTAGCAGCGCCTGCATATGGAGTATATATCTCCAGTAGATACAATATTCAAGAGGTTGCATTTACTATCATGATTTCCTTGATAGAGGATTGCTGCTAACAAAGAAGATATTAAATCAAGAGTTCCAAGTGGAAATCATCCCTTCGAAAATTTTACGGACGCCATCACGAGTTGGTTGACCGTTATGGAATATCTGTTTCACAGATGATGACGGATATATTCCTATTGTCGTAACCAGAATTCCGTTTTTTTTTCCTCGAATGTGACCTACTAAATACCTCGTCATAGATACCAGGCTTACAATTGTGTAGGCTAGACGCGCGTTTCGTCTACAAAAGACTCGTCAGTGACGCTCCAAAAAAAAAAAGGCCAAATAAAGTACGAAGTTGAAGAGCATTGAGAAACCAAAGAATTAAACTTATCACCGGGTTTGTACTTACATGAGCAACACGACGGGTGCCAGATGTGGAGCTGGTTCTGCTTACCCTTCCGGGGTTCCTGGGATGACCCCAGGTATTTGGTGGGGTTCATGTTGCCAAGTCATTAATTTTCTATGTTGTGTTTTGTATATACTGTTCTTTGTCTCGTTTTTCTGGGTTTTTTTGCCATTGCATTGTCAAACTACTAACAAAATAGGAAAATCACATTGAAATCATAGCAATGTTACAGTCAAGAATTACACCGTTCACAATTGAGAATGTACAAGCATTTTGTCGTTTATCAATGAGATTTGGTTGTTTCTTTAATGTCTTTAATTTTAAAACGTGTTGGGAAGATTGATTGCCAATGGTTTCACGTCACACAGCAAACAGCAAAAATCAAATGCATGTTTAGAGCGAGAACAGGTTGGCCAGAAACCATTCAGTAGGCGTGAAAAAAGAGTCCGTGAAGTCAAGTAACACATGTTTTTAACTAAAAATGCATGGGTGATATTCATAGCAATGACTAGACGATTATCCAAACCACTGGTACAATGCCCTTCCATTATTAGTTGATTCATACAGACACTGGCTATGTCCGACTGTCACACTGCAAAAATGATTCTTTACGCCTTTATCATATACTTTAATTTATTTTTCAGAGACAATTCGCTGTCAGCCATAAAAAATCCATGACAACAAATCATCTGCGGAAATACATAAAAATCCATCATGGAGATTAACTGTGATAACTGACTTGTATATATTTGTAATGTTTTCAATTGTAAATAAATATCATCTAATTTATGATCATGTAAATCGAACTGTGCTATTAACTGTCTCAAATTATCTTGAGAAAATGGTGAAAAGGGTTTGTACAGCTGTTAGCAGTAAAGTTAGTAGTTAGATATATGCTATCGAAAAAAAATATAGGTATATTAGTTTTTTCGTGAAATTTACAGTCAGCCCTGTTGTACTTCATGAAATGGGTAATAATGTATCTTAAATGTTATTGTCAAAAAATGTGTTTAAGCATTCAATCAATGTGTTTGTGCATTTTTATCTATTTGTTGGAATGGCTGCATTCTCTTCAGGCTAAAACCAAAAATCCTGTACAGGAAAATGGTGTGTGCCTTGAATATTTTACCCTGCTAATGTTTCAAGACGAGAATCACTGGTTCATAAAAATTTGCTGAAATTCTGATTTACTGTTACTGTAAATTATTGCATCAAGAGTCCTGGGTTTGACATTTTGTTCAACAACAAAATCCACCTCGTTAAATCCATTGGCAACAATTTTCGAGAACAAAACATATAATCAATATAAAATAATAAATCAAATGACTTCACATTCAACACCAACTAAGACGGGTGGTATAGTCAGTGCTTTTGTTGAAAGTAAAATGTATATAGTAATTGAATGGTGCTATCAATATAACTGTATAACACATTGTAACATAAAGTTGGTTGTATATTAATATTGTTTGTTATTGTTATTGTTTTTGATTTGTACACAGTGTCAGATTATTTCTGACAACTTTTTTTTTAATTTATAATAATGCATTTTCCCCTTTTGTTTGAACATAAAACGTATGTTTAACGTGCTTCATTTCATGTGACTGTCAATGTGACTGTCATATCTTTGCCAGTGTAGACAGTAATTTTACTTTTATTATTACAATTTATACTTCTTTTAAAATCATGTTAGATTTACACTGCAACTAAAGTAACTATTTCAAAATGTGTTACACAGTAAACATGGTCAACACATATTACAATAAAAATAAAAATGTCTTTTGATGTTCAACATATACATAATGTTTTTGTATCAAACATTGAAAAGCCAATGTTCTATATTGTATTTTGTTTACTACATTAAAATATTTAAACTGAAGAGATTCCACCAGTTTTTCCTTCTCTTAGAATAATATATAACCTATCGCGTGCTTGGTTATTTGATGAAATTAGTTTTTGAATACCATTTTTTATGTTGGCGTTTTGTTTTCCAATGTCTATGAGTATTTTCTTTTACAACAACATTTTTTTATCTAACGTAAATAATTTGATTTGATTAGTAGTGAACCTCAGTAAAAAGTAAGCGAATGATATTTTTGACATGCACAGCAGTTGTTTTTAGTTCTAATTTGACGTGATGCTTTCGATTTGAAAACAAGAGTGTGATAAAATTCTATCATATACATGTTTCTTTATTTTGAGCAGACTCACAGATGTACATATTGATACCTGTTACAGTTTACCCCCACGTAAATCCACATGTCGATTTCGCTGTGTGAAGTTGAAAAGTTATTCTTATTATAATGCATAACAAAAATAATTAATACATAAGAGCCTGTTGGAAAAATTTATACGATAAAAATAAATAAAATTTCGCGAAATTTTAAGATTAACACGATTAATTTTGGCGATTAACGTCATAAGTGACGTCATATCAATGAAAATTCTCAAACTGAAGGTTATTCCGTTACTTGTACGCATTCGAATTCGGATACTTTCTCATTTAAATTGAGTTTTCAGGTAGGTGTATCTCATTTTTAGCTCACCTGGCTTTCTAATCACTTGGCGTCCGTCGTCCGTTGTCGTTAACTTTTACAAAAATCTTCTCCTCTGAAACTACTAGGCCAAATTTAACCAAACTTGGCCACAATCATCATTAAGGTATGTAGTTTAAAAGATGTGTCCGATGACCCCGCCTGCCAACCAAGATGGTAGGGATGGCTAAAAATAGGACATAGGGGTAATATGCAAGTTTTGTCTATTATTTTTTGAACCGTTGTAAATAGAAAAAATCTGAAAGGAGCAAAAATGTTCAGAATTATGAGCTCTACCAATTGTCCATATACGTCAAAACTGTTAGACAAATTCTTATAGAAGTGATTGCCCATAAATGACAAATTTTACCATCTTTTTTTTCATTTTGCCTGTTATCATGTTCACTATGATATTTAGAGAGAAACAAGTTTTTTTCTGTTATGCCTTATATGATTTAAATTATAATAGATAAATAAACACTTTAAATCACAAAAATGATCAGCAAGGCAAGACCCATTAAAAAAGTCAAATTTGACCGATATAGTTAGTAGACTGTCACTCTTCATAGGAGTGATTGCCCTTAAATGAGGATTTTTTTACCCTCTTTTGTGTTTTTCCAAAGAAGATAGAGAGAAACTAAACAGACTAAAAGATCAGTAATACGAGATCAACAAAATAGATTTTTGTCATGAAGTCTGTTCTCGTCTACAGTGTTGGAGTATCCTTTGTTTGATATATATGCACACAGACCAAGGTGAGCGACACAGGCTTTTAGAGCCTCTAGTTGATTTATAGCGTTAATCACTCATTAATGGATTTTAGCAAACTTGTCAATATGGCGGCTCGCTCTTTAGTTACGACATGTCAAGTGTGGATTTTAATGGTAAATAGAAGCCAATGGAAAACAATGTATTAAAATGCTAAAGTTTGGGTTGAAAATTTTAAGTATTAAACACATTTTTTTCTAGAGGCATTTTAAGAAATAATTCGTGCAAGCTATGTAATTGTTGGTAGTTTTTAGCTACAGGGGGTAAATAGAACAGCTACACGCACGGCGCACTTACCTTCGCTTCAGTCTTTTGAATTGCCGTATTTGTCCCATTAGTATAGTATAATAGTATAGTTTTATTCAGGCAAATTCAAGCACATATATAAAAATTCACAAGACAAAAGAATAATATATATATATGACTTATTTATATTTTTTCGTTTGGGCTTGTATTATATTTGCCTTCGGGTTTATATGATCCGTTCATCCTATTTCGACTCTTCAAAATTCAAGAGTCTATCCTAAATTGAGGTAAATTATATGGCCTCCAAAATACCGTTTCGATTCCTAACATCACTGAAGAGACATTAATTGTCGAAATCCGGATATGGTGTACAAATTTTTGCACCTCATGTTTGCGGTATACCATCTTTTCCGCAAGTTTATTGTTTTCTGTTTGGTATTAAATTAATAATAAAGATCCATTTTGTTACATCTTGTAATCCATTTATTTGGTAATCGCCAATGGCAGTCATCAGGGTTTAAGAACATCCGTTGTTCCACCTGTTAGTCAAATGCGTTTTGTTTAAATATACTTTTTCACTTTTTTGGTCTTTTAGAAAATGTTGTTTGTGCTGTATTTAGACCTCTCTACCATGAAATTTGTTTTGCATGCACACGTATAAAAGTTGCGGTTTTTATCCAACGCAATCATAGGTTTGAGCGTTGTTTTCAATTTAGACTTTTTATATATATATATATATAACTCGTCTAAACATCAGCCCAACAATGTTAGATCTGTAAATTTGCTTTCGCAAATTTTTTGTTCTTCCCTCGCCGGGATTCGAACTCATGCTACTGAGATATCGTGACACCAAATCGCCTGCACCGTATCCAACGCGCTTAACCACTCGACCACCTAGGCTTCACTGTAATAAAGCTTTCGGTGCATGGCCGGGTGTTACCTTTCCTCGTCAGTTTTAATCTAGCGTCGTAATACAGTACATGATATATAAGGCATGAAGATGGAATTGTTACAGATCAGCTGAAACATCTATTGTAAAGGATCCTACAAATTAATGCAAGATACAGTCACAGAAATAATTATATGTATAAGTACGTCTGAAACAGTGACAACTCTACAACAGATTTATCCATCGGATCACCAGCAGTGATTGTGATACATGGCTGTGTACATTCTGTATATACAACTCCTCTAAACATCAGCCCAACAATGTTTGATCTGTAAATTTGCTTTTGCAAATGTTTTGTTCTTCCCTCGCCGGGATTCGAACTCATGCTACTGAGATATATACTTTTAAAATAGCATCATAATATATTTTAAAAACAGTGCTTAGAAAGAAGCCTGGGATATCCCATAAAAGCTTACATAGTATAGCTTATTTCCAATGGGTTCCCTTGTTTGAAAATATATAAAAATAACATTTTAAATTATATGTTATGTTTAGAATCTAAATCATTCAAGCAAGCCATAAATTTGTTGGCATTTTCTTCTGGCCTGGGCCGTCATATTCTTTAATATTATCCCTACAATCGGGATAAAATTTTAAAAAAACAACTTCCCGGCCATGTGAGAATTCAACAAATCTATGGCTTGCATCAAGGATTTGTATAGTAATAAAATTGAGAATGGAAATAGGGAATGTGTCAAAGGGACAACAACCCGACCAAAGAGCAGAAAAAGACTATACAAATCCTTGCGTGCATGAATTATTTCTTAATCAAATAGTATAAAGATAATTTTGACTTGTTTGTTGATTTTTTTGGGAATGGCAATTATAAGTTCATAACATGTAATTTACTGAAAAAGAAAAATTATGCATGTGTTGTCTATTCTTTTTGACTAAATATTTTGGTTGTTCCTCAGTATTTTTTCCTTGTTTTATTAACTTCAAAAGACCAATGTGAGATTTTGCCATCACTTGAATTCCGTCATCGTCAACTCAAAAAAAGGATAATAACAGATCTTTTCTTCCATTATTCTTTAAAAAAAATCCTCTACGAAGTCTGCCTCACATAAGATTAAAGAACAAGTCGACAAGCAGAGGAGCAAAATTGGTTTCAATAGAAATATTGATTGTTTGTTGAAAAACACGCTCGCCAAATTTTAAAAAAAAATGATTGCTGATAAAATAGACGTGAATAAATTTGAAAGAAGTTTTTTGTGCATTTGAAAAACCCAGCAGTAATAAGTAATTTGTCAGGACCCTCGTGTCATTTCGAAATCATGTCGATTGAAATTAATGATCTAAATCACTAAAGGATTCTTTTAATGCCTTTTTGTCCTAACATTACGATTTTACCCGTTGTTTGCGTATTTGTAAAACATTGTTTTTTTGTTTTTTTTTGCTTATTTGCAATTATCTTGAAAAATAATCATGTAGGATTTGTCTTTAAATGACGATATCTATAAAAAAAAATAGATGTGGTATGATTACCAATGAGACAACTATCCACCAAAGTTCAAATGAAGTGGATGTGAGAAATTATAGGCAACCGTACGGCCTTCAACAACGAGAAAAACCCATACCGTATAGTTGGCTATAAAAGGCCCCGACATGAAAAATATGAAATAATTCAATTGAGAAAACTAACGGCCTAATTTATAACAAAACAATTAACGAAAAACAAATATGACAGACATGAACAAACGACAACCACTGAACTACAGGCACATAAAGAATGTGGCGGTGTTATACAAAAAATTGAAAACAACACGTTTAATAATTTCATGCGTCCGAAGCGCTTTTCTGGATTTACCTTCATCAGGAACGCTCAAAGCCAAACATTTGAAATCCGAGGATGTATAAGTACCGAAACCGTTGAAGAGCTATAAACAAAATAGAGATTTTTCCATGCTTTTTTAAAAAATGTAATCAAAAGTATGGGTCACTTTGCTATTTTTCAAGCTACAAGTCGTCCAAAATTGCCCAATTTTGCATAGATTATTCATGAAAATACAAGTTTTTGTGAATAAAAAGAAATCTATAATATAGAATTTTGAAATAAAATGAGAAGATACATAGGTTTTATAAAATGCTTTAAGAAAATGCAAATAAAAATGCTGTCACCGAACTTGTTTTCTTGCTACAATTAAACTAGAGGCTCCAAAGAGACTGTGTCGCTCACCTTGGTCTATGTGCATATTCAACAAAGGACACTGTCCAACATTGTAGACAAGAATAGAATTCATGACAAAAATCTGTTTTGTTGATCTTATATTGCTGATCATTTAGTCTGTCTTCTTTAGTTTTTGCTCAAAACAAAAAAGAGGGTAAAAAAAATCCTCATTTAAGGGCAATCACTTCTATAAAGAGTGACAGTCTACTAACTATATCGGCAAATTTGACTTATTAGTAGATCTTGCCTTGCTGATCATTTTTGTGATTTAAAGTGTCCATTTATCTATTCTAATTTTTATCATATAAGGCAAAATGCCAAAAAAAAATGGTAAAAATAGTCATAAAAGGGCAATAATTGTAGACCCTGTCAGACGTACGCCAAGTGAAGAAAAAAGCTCACTTGGCCCTTTTAGCCAGGAGAGCTAAAAATGAAAGTTTCACTATCATTCTTGTATAAAATTTTTACTATAAGAGTTATCTCCCCTTATATGGAAGTTGAAAAATTGAATCGAAAAAACAAATATGTTAAAACAGGATGGTATTTTTGTTCGAGCATATTGTTTTTCTTTAATTGTTTAACATTTCTTACCGATATAACATGTTACTTTTATTATTCTTCCCTTAGTTTATTTATTTTGTATTTACATTGTGTCATAGGTCAAATTTATTTGTTCAGTGTATGTTCAATGGTGTTAATATGTCCTTTGATTGAGTTAAGCTATTTCAGTTGATATTTTATAGTGTGTCTTTCTATGTTGTGATGTTACACTATTGTTTCAGAAAAAGGGTGAAGGTTTGGTACCATTAAAACGTTTAAACCCGCTGCATTTGTTTGCACCTGTCCTAAGTCAGAAATCTGATGTTCAGTAGTTGTCGTTTGTTGATGTGGTTCATAAGTGTTTCTCGTTTCTCGTTTTTTATATAGATTAGACCGTTGGTTTTCCCGTTTGAATGGTTTTACACTAGTAATTTTTTTGGGGCCCTTTATAGCTTACTGTTCGGTGTGAGCCAAGGCTCCGTTTTGAAGACCGTACTGTGACCTATAATGGTTTACTTTATAAATTTTTACTTGGATGGAGAGTTGTCTCATTGGCACTCATACCACATCTTCTTATATCTAATTAATAATGCAATAAATCATTTATTTTTCTTTATTTAAATGAACAGTCTTACACATTAATTGCCAATCTGTCTGAATATTTGCAGATTTAAGCAAATAACTAGACCGATTGTGTACTGCTATTTTACAATCCAAGATCTGGTATACAGTTAATCTACCATAAATGATATTTTTTATTTAATTTTGGCATTTTTAGCTAATATCATGAAAATTGATAGAAAAAACAGCATACAGCAAAATGGTCAAAGAAATTAAATGTTAAAAAAATTTTATTTACTGCTTATAGATAAACGCTTAACTATTTTTTAAATGTTTCCCAGAGTGGATCTGGATCAAACATGGTCAAAATCTAACGGAGTGTATGAAAGATGACTGCAACTGGTTTTATTGTTGCATATCTTTGCCAGGTAAGCAATTGGGGCTCCTTAAAGCCTCTAGATGATTTTGTTTACCAAATAAAGATCACTGAATTATTGGTGATCTTTGGAGGGTTTGTCTCTGTTTATTATTGAAAGGAATATCAGCAAGTTGGTTATGTCAATAGTAATGTAAATGGTATCAAAGGATTTAATGGATAGTTGTTTTCTCTCCATAGCCTTTTTACATCGCTTTTGGTGACACAAGAAAATGATTCAATTCAGACGTCACTTTCACTTGTGAACCAGAAAAACAATCTGATGGTTAATCATATCACGTTGATTCTAATTTTTATGCGCATAATAAGCGGTTTTTTTCGAGTTTGACAGTGATTTTTTTGTTTATATTTTATTGGAATAATCGAAACTGGTTTTTCTTATCCCTGTCATAAATTTCTTAATCCGTATTTGGAAAAAACTTTTGCAATTTTAGGTTTTTAATACTCTTCAACTTCCTGTGTTTTTCCCTTCCAGGTTTTTTTATGGAGATCCACTGATGAGTCTTTTGTAGACCAAACACACGTCTGGCATACAAAATTATGAATCTGATATCTTTGATTAGAGTTTATCCTTCAATTGTGATATTTGGATTCGAGCACAATTGACGATAATATATTTTTTTTGAAACTCACACATGATATGTCAAATAAATTTTAAATTGTATTATATTTTCCTATAAAATCGTTTTCGTATTGTATAAGTTGCTTATAATAATTGGTTTTCCTTTCAAACAAGATACATTTGTGTAATAATGTATATCTTTATTTTATAAAATTGGTCATGGATAGAAAATTTATGAAATACTGATTGGCCCACAATTAACGGTTAGCAAATGAGGAATGTCTTTTTGATTCATTTTGATTGATTCACAATTTCTGTGCCAATTATTTCTAAAACAAGCGGGTGGTCTTTCATCACAGGCCACTGAGCTTTAATATTGTCCATTTCACGTCCATAGTTTGATACGCTACGAAGCAGTGTAAACTTGTCAAGTATTTTCCAGAGTCTTTCGTCTGGGTTCTTGTAACTTTTCTTTGCTACAGTCCGTAAACAATTAACCAAATACCACTGGATTTTCTCCACTTTATCAGGTTCTTGTAATGTGCACTGATCTACAAGGCAGAAACATTTATCTTATTATTAAGTATCAAAACTAATGAATAGTTCAGGTCTTGTATAAACCCATTCGTCATCTAAGGAAAAATTAAATAAGTGTATGGTGACACCTTTGAATATATCTAACATTTACTTTTAAGGATGAACACCTCTGAGGAGCCAAAAATTTCTAGAATTAAACTTTTTTTCTTAACCTGATTCTTTACTTATTTTTGGGCTAATATCATGAAAAAAAATCACAGTTTCAAAATTAAACTTTTTTCCATACTTACACTTAAGTTGAAGTGGACCAATCTGAATAAATTTAACTTTAAAAAACTATAGGTAGGTGTTAATATAAGAAAGTTTTATAAAATTTTGTTGCTTTTCATGTCAAATTGATCACATGTTTTGGAAATATTCCTGAACAAGACTGAAACATCAGAAGAATACATCCTTAAAGTATGATAAACTTAAAGTACCATTATAATTTGAGATAAATTTCTGAAACATAATATTTTACGATACAGAAAAGTTGCCAAAGACCATATCTATTTTTTTTATGAAACTATGAAAACTTTCATTTTTAACTAGTATATACTGTAATGGAGACGACCAGTTGTATTAAAAATATTAATACAGAAATATTCAAATTTGTTATCGGTGTAATAATATCATAGATAACAAGTAAGAATGTTGTTACTTTGTTTTACAAAACAAACATGACATTAGTTCAGGGTCAGTTGTACACTGACTCGATAAACATGTAGTGTCAAGTGATTCAGTAATGTACAGAGGGAGAACAAATGCGTCAAATCGAAAGTACAATTAAAAACTAAGAAACTTAGAATTAGACACAACCTTATAAAAAAATTAAAGAGAATAAAATAATCTTTAAAGACTGGTTCTAGTTAAAACAACACTTCCGAATAAAGAAAACATTTTTTCAGTGACGATAACTTTGTTTTACTAAGCAAATAAAGTCATCAGAGATACCAGAATTAAACTTTTGTACGCGAGACCTGCATTATGTCTACAAAAGACTTATCAGTGACGCTCAAATAAAAAAAGTTAAAAAGGCCAAAAAAGAACAAAGTTAAATTGATATCAGAACATGATCAGTCGTCCACTGTCTTACAAACCTGCAATGTGGGATAATTCAGTAATGAAGTAAGGGAGACAAATCAATCAAATAGAAAGTAAAATGTAGACAAATAGCAAAGAATTGAAAACAACCTTATAAAAAATTAAAGAGAATAAAATAATCCTAAAAGACTGGTTCTAGATAAAAACAAAAAAAGCACTTCCGAATTGGAAAAGATGAACATATTTTCAGTGACGATAACTTTATTTTACCAAAAAATATGACATCAGTAAATGATCTGGGGCCGTGTTTTATTGGTCTCATCTGCACATCTCCAGAATGTCTTCTGGTGAAGAGTCCAAAAAAATGAATCTGGACCTCTTCTGGAGATATTCTACGGAAGATCAATAAAACAAAAATTCAATTTGCCGTCGAATATAGCAGATTTTTGTTATGTTGGATGACATATTAAATGAAGTTTACGATGATTTTATAGAAAATTAAGATACGTTCGGTAGACATGACTGTAAAAGTGTGCTCTGTTCGTGACATTTTTCTTTGTTCTTTCCTCTAACTCAATTTTGCTAGACAAATCAGGCGTAAACCCTACTATTTGATTTTTAAGTATAATCTTAAACTGCACAAAAATTCGTCAATGTTTGTCTCGAATATGATCAAAAAGGACATATTGTCTATCCAATTTTTTTAAAGTAACCAAACTGGATTATTTTTGTATAAAGCAAAAATATCGGAAAGTTCTCAAAATCATTTTTCTCTGGTGGTCCTTGAAGAAAATCTTCTGGTCCTAACTATTATTTCTATTGCATAATTTCGATGGTCAAAACCTTCGGACCACCACTTTTCAAAAATTTTCATTGTATATGGATCTATAAGCAAGTATACAATGTATACCAGACATTTCTCACTGTTTTTTTTTCTTCTTCTTTTTTTTTGATAAATCCGTTGGTTGTGTACTGATTGATACTTCAGTCTGGGAGAACAAGATTTATTTCAGTACTATAGTTGTAATTAGCTTTGAACAAACTTCCAGTAATTGCAAATACTCTTATTTCGGTGCTTTTTGTCTATTGTCTTAATGTAAGTTTTTTTTTGTGTGTCTCGTACTGATCTTTTGAGTTAATCTAATTGCAATTGATTTGTGCAGGTTGTTCTTATATTGTACTGTTACACCACTGTCCCAGCTTCGGGGAGGGTTGAGCGCTCACAAACATGTTATTGTGCTGTTACACCACTGTCCCAGGTTAGGGGGCTGTTTGGGCCGGATCCCGCAAACATGTTTAACCCCGCCACATTCTGTATGTATGTGCCTGTCCCAAGTCAGGAGCCTGTAATTCAGTGGTTGTCGTTTGTTGCTGTGTTACTTATTTGTTTTTCGTTCATTTTTTTGTACATTAATTAGACCGTTAGTTTTCTCGTTTGAATTGTTTTACATTTGTGATTTCGGAGCCTTTTATAGCTGACTATGCGGTATGGGCTTTGCTTATTGTTGAAGGCCGTACGGTGACCTATAGCTGTTAATTGCTGTGTCATTTGGTCTCTTGTGGAGGGTTGTCTCATTGGCAATCTTCGTTTTTATATCAACCCTGCCATATTCTTTGTGTGCCTGTCCCAAGTCAGGAGCATGTAGTTTAGTTGTTGTCGTTGGTTCATGTCTCGACTCATATTTGATATTTTGTAAATTATTTTGTTATGTATAATTAGCCGTAAGTTTTTTCGTTTGAATTGTTTCTCACACTTTTCATGCTTTTCACGTCGGGCCTTCTGAGACAAGTGCTTGTGGTAATTAGCGACAGATTAAAAAAGTTAATAAAGCCCTCTTCCCTTCCCCATCCTTCATCTATAAATTTAAACTGACCACCACGGAATAGCCCAACTTAGTGTTGAAATTAGCGTTAAACACCAATCAATCAAAATCACTTCCCTAGAATATCAAATAGTCGTCCCTTAACTGTTATCGTCCGAGTAGTTCTTATATTTATCCAGCTTATCGTCCTACAGGGATGTCCTACTAAGACTGTCATACCGGCCATAAAAACGTTTATAACACAGCTCACATTCTAATATATCTGCATTCATAAATTTATTAATGTCATTTAGACTAAACGACGCCATGTTTGTTATGTGCCTCTGCCGTCTAAACTACCTATCAAAAAAGAAGAGGTGGAAGAGAGCCAGAAGATCTTCCCTATGCAAAAAAACAGAAATGGAACTCTTCTGGCTCACTACCGAAGAACAAAAAAACACGCCCCTGTTGTCAAGTGTCTTAATAAACTGCAGTGGTAAAACATTCAGTAATGAAATAAGGGAGACAAATCCGTCAAATTGAAAGTAAAATTCAAAACAAACAACAGAGAAACAAAGATTTGGATGCAACACAACTCCCCAAAAGTTAACCTTAGATAAATTTGGCTATTATTTCGAGTTCCTTTTGGTCAGCTCTTCTTATGTTTTGGTACTTATAAAAATATTTTGCTTTCATTCGTTTGACTTTGAGTGTTCCTAATGAAAAATTTTGAAAATTAGCAAAAAAGCTATATTCAGCAACAAATGTGAAAATAACAAACAGTTTGGATACAAACAAAACAATATATAAAAGCGATTGTATGAGTTATAAGCAGTCATAGAACTAGAAACATTTCTCCAACATTATAGATTAGAATATAATTCATGACTTAAAGACTAAAATTCTCTCTTTTCCTGATCATTTTTGTTGTTTACAGTGTTTTCAACTATAGTGTTTGCCAAAAAAGCAAAACATGGTTAAAAAATTTTCACTTAAGGAAAATTTCTGCTATAGGAGTGGACTGACAATTTCAGCTATTTTAGTTATTTGTTGATCTTGTTTTGCTGATCATTTTTTTGCATTTTGAAGTTGATATGCTATAGTTTTTGCCCAAAAATGGTTAAAAATCCTATTCAAGGGCAATAACTCCAGGAGTTGACTGACGGATTTCTGGAATGTTGACTTATTAGTAGATCTAGTCTTGCCAATCATTTTTTCATTTAATGTTTCTCTACAGACTATTTCTATAATAGCTCCAATCTAATAGCTATAGGCAAAAATGGAAAAAAAATGTTTATTTAAGGGCAATAACTCCTAAAATGAGTCAACTGACAATTTCGGCTTTGTTGACTTAATAGGTAATCTTATCTTGTTGAATGCTTTTTTTTCAGTTTCTCCTTATCTTTTATAGTTCTCAAGATAATAGACAAACACGAAAAAAAAGATAAAAATCATCATTTACGTGCAATAATTCCTATATAAGGAGTTAACTGGTAATTTTTTTTTTACATTATTTTACAGAAACTTAACATATCAATGATATTTCATGTCAACTCAAAAGCGATGACTACTGAGATTGTGAAACCCTCGGGGACGAAAGGTCCTTCAGCAGTAGAACCCTTGAGGACGAAACGTCCTTCAGTAGTGAAACCCTCCGGGACGTCCAACGTCCTTCAGCAGTGGAATCCTTGGGAACGATACGTCCTTCAGCAGTGAAACCCTCGGGACAAAAGACCTTCAGCAGTGAAATCAATCTAATGGTTGTAAAGGCTTATAATTTTGTACCCAGTCCCAAAATGGTGATACTTTGTTCGATTTCATGCACTGCTAATAGTTTCACGCGTGACTTTTGAAATTTAAAGGGGCATTAGCTGTCAAATTCATCTTTAATGATTTGACTCAAATTCTCATATTTGATTTATAACATACTAAAACGTATGTAAAACTTACAAAAAGTCTAAAATAAACAATGAACAATGCATGAACTCGATAATAGTATGGTTGTATATCTCGTAGCTATTGCCCCTTTAAATAAATATATTTTGTATGTGATATATCTAATTTGTAAGTTTAAGTTAATACGGAGGACATGAATTTTGGCAGCTTATGTCCATTTTACACAAGTGATGGTTAACTAAACTGCAATAAATCACCCTTTTATCCATTTAGTAAAATAACTATACACTTAATTTTGAAACCATAATTAATATTTTAATTGCTACATTTTAATTAGATATACCTGTAAATGTTAAAACAATTCCTCTAGCAAGAGTTACCTCTTCTGCAGAAAGGTTACACTTTCTTAAACTTGCTGCACATTCAAACATATAATCTGTGTTTCTGTGGTTTAATAAAGAACTCATTTCCGACTGGTGAGCTCCAAATATACCAGGGTTTGCATGATCAGTAAGTGCAATTACTCTCAGTTCTGGATTGACCCTTCGATGGAACTCAAGGAACCAATACTCATGGAATCCAGCTATTTCAAAGTAAGATGTTATACTTTATATACATTTAAAAAAAAAGTTGGTCACGATTTTGAAACAAACAAACAAAAACGTGTCAAGATTTTTCTCATAAGTTACCCTTGAATTTAGAGTTGGTGCACCTTTGTAAATGGTCAGAGAAAACTGTAATAATACAACGATAATTTAAACGTAAAACTGTATATATTTTCCGCAAACAAAATATATAGATTAATACCTAAACATGTCTGCAAATATGGTCAGACTAGATAAAATGGAGGCAAAACTGATTTAAATAAAAAAAGTATGATTAATGGCAACTGTTAAGGAATTCCTGCTTTCCTGTCTTTACCCTATGGCAGATGGCTCTAGTGGACAAGTGGATCCGGAACTGCTAACCCTTCCTGAGCTCCTGCGCTTACCCTGGTTTTTGTTTTGGGTTCATATTGTTTGGTCTTTAGTTTTCTGTGTCCCTAAGCTTGAGATGGGTTACATACGTGGTAAGCATGTTGAGTTATTAGAAAAGAAAATGTCAACATTAAAAAGAGTGAAACAAGGAAGCCACCAGGAAGAACCATTTCAGTGACTGCTTCGGCCAACAAAAAATCCTCCTAAATAAGGTAAAGCGATCATTTACATATATTCTAATGTATGACATGAAATCATACAGACAGGGAACAACATGTTGACTTTCGTCAAATCTAAGATGATTTCAATTGTGTCGCATGTGCTTACTTGATAAATAAAAATACCTTTTAACAGAACAATCTGGTCTGCTGTTGACAACGCACTGAATCCGGGAATATTTCTAGCAAAATTTATCATGTTTCTAATGAATTTATCCATATGAGAAGCAATTGTACTCATTTTGTTTTTTCGATTATCAATGTCTATACCAGTAGCTTTATAAAATTCGTCATAAACATGTGTGGGTAAGTATCCTAACTTGCCAAATATTTCTTCTTTTTGTTTAAATGTCTCCTGAAAAATAAAAATTAGATCATATGATATTTCTCTGTTTCGTTTAATCATCATTTATCATGTTTATCCAATTGTTTTGACTGCAGTTTTGAAAACTTTTTTCTAAAAAATAAAATTAAAAAGAATAAGGAATAAATCATAAATATGTGCATGTACACAAATGCCCCCATTCGAGATAGGGGACAAATTTGCAAAATGAAAACGAAAATATATAAATATTAGAATCTGACCACGAATCCAGAAATCCATAAGATATATATATCAAATTTGGATTCGAGTTGTTCCTTGTAATGTATTTATACATCAAATAATTGATACTTCGAATTATTGAACGATGAGGAACGTCATACTTTCTTTTTTTTCTGAACAATCTCGGAGTAAACAAATGCTATACGAGAACAGGCATTCTAATGTGTGTCAAATTTCAAATTGGTGCGTTTTAATAGCTCTGACATTAATTTTTTGTTATAAATGCTTATGTGAATGATCTCTGTATGAAGAATTGTACTGTTTGTATGTGAATTATCTCTGTATGCAGGTATGAAGATTTGTTCTGTTAATTCCATTATCCAATTTCAAATTGATAACTTGGAATCATGTCGCTTTTGGGAAATCTTCACATGATGTCTTACTTTTGATTTAAATTCAATTTTAGATCTGTTTGATAGTTAAGAAGGGTTTCTGCTTACAAAATTTTTGGATAGTTGGACAATCAACGGAAGAATAATGTCAAAAATATTTGTAGAATTTGAAATTAAATCATACATTCTAAAGAGAACTAATGGTGTTTATTTTGATTTAAGATAAATTGAACACAACTCACAAGCATATCGTTATATATCTAACTTTATCATCAAACATCAGTTCCTACCAAAACACTCAAAAAATGCCGTTCAAAAATAACGACACGTTTACATGTGCAATAATTATTGAAAATTATCTGTAATTTTCATATAAAAAAATATGCTCTCAACCTTCAAAGGGAATGCAGGGTATAGAAAATGGATGTTTCTCCGTCATAAAGGTATGACTCCCGTTCGTTTGGTTCTGCAGGGTAAGTTCAGCCACAACAGGTCACAATTTCAAAGTTAAATCTGATGCATCATGTAGCAACAGTGTCAAGCTCTTCAAACAATGAATGTTGGCAAAGAACAAAACGTTTTTCAAAAGAGATGACTTCAACTTTTGCACGATGGTCTTTCCATTTTTATCTACCAACATTCCAGCAGCACCTTCGCATGGAGTATTTATCTCTTAGTTGAAACGATATTCTAGGGCTTGCATTTTCTTTCTGATTTTTTTTAAATACAAGGGAGATAACAACCAAGAAATTAAATCGAAGATTCCTCATGATTAACTTCAACTTTTGCACGATGGTCTTTCCATTTTTATCTACCAACTTTCCAGCAGCACCTTCGCATGGAGTATTTATCTCTTAGTTGAAACGATATTCTAGGGCTTGCATTTTCTTTCTGATTTTTTTTAAATACAAGGGAGATAACAACCAAGAAATTAAATCGAAGATTCCTCATGATTAAGTCGAAGTCATTACTTTGAACATTTTTGGTAGCCATCATTATCTGGTTGACCCCAAATTGAATGTAAATGCCAAAAAACGACAACGAATAATTTTTCATTTGTCATAGCCATTATTCCGTACTCCTTTTCTTGCTAGTGATTCTTCGAATGTGACTAGAGCACTGTGTTAAACCCCAGGTTTTTTTGGTGGGCACGTGTTGCTCAATCTATGATATACTATTCAGTGTTTTGTATACTGTTGTTTGACTTTTCGTCTTTTGTTTTATTTTTTGTCATGGTGTTGTATTTCTTCTACCTTTCCTTTTGATGCACCTTGATGTCTTCTATTTTTTTTAATAACATATGTTATTAGAGTATTCACCTGCTAAGTTTTACGAAATAATTTGACCTAATGCTTGAGAAAAGAATTAGTTTTAGGCGATTAACTTGTAAAATATGTATATAGTTATAACATGAACTATCCAATAATGTATAAACCTACATATACGGTCTTCTGCAACGCCAACAGTCCATCTGCTTCAAACAGTTCAATAAATTCACCATTAAATTCTTGTTCGATTTGAATTAAAGTTTCAACTAAACTGTCAACTTCTTTTTCATCTACGTAAATTTCAGAAGATTTTTCTTGTATCTTTTCTGTCACTTTTATCTTCTTTATTTCCTTAATGTTGCTTGTTCGTTTTTCGTGTGTGTATCGTCCTATCTTTATAGCTGTAAATGTCAAGGGAAAATAATTTCATTAAAAGAGAAAAATAAAAGAATAGCTTTTACCAAGTACAAAAGTATTTTAGCCAATTAAAACTACTGAGAATGTGGTCTACATGATCTTACATCCCTATTTAAGAAATTATTCCATACTGGTTTAAAGCTGATGGAAAAGACAATTATTTTGATAAAAAATTCAGCTTGGAATTTTTAAGGAAAAATGGCCTGCATATGCACAATTTATGCATTTTAGAGTTAATACAGCTAATTTTACAAACGAAAATAGAAGAGTAGATGAGTTGATGAGTAAAGTAGACTTTGTTTGAAGGACTATATAATTTAGATAAAATCAAGACAAGACAAGAAATTTGTAAAAACACCAGCAGACAGTATTAAAATAATTAAACAACATAAGCAAAAAGGGAGATCAGATACCAAACGGGCAACAAAAGGAAATAAGAGAACACCATGATTTAAAGACAAAGTCCACTAATAAGTTAAATACAAAAAAATTAAAAATATAAAAATAAAAATAAAAATAGAAATTTTGATTCAGACAATATCTCTAAATCTTCTGCCAGTGTTTCATAAAATTCTATAAAGGTTTGACAAAGTTATTGACGTCTGAAAAAACTTTAACCTTAGACTGTATCTCAATACACCTTATGGCTATTTCGTCCAATCCGGAAAAAACAGTCATTTAGACAACTTCCTGTTTGGGTCAACAGGCAAAAAATCAAAGGTCATCAGTAACGAGCCGAGGGAGAGAAAAAATTAGAAAGCGATCAATAGGAAACTTTGATAGTTTGATCTCATTAAAAAGTATCATGCATAGTGCATTGTTAAAACAGGGTCCCAGATAGGTTCAACCGGACGAAAAAGTTGTGTAATTTTAGAACTTATCCGGAATGGAATGAATATCAATTAGGTGTATGTTTACTGCTAAAAAAAACTAAATCCATTTATCAGTAAATTACGGAAAATGAAAGAGAAAAAAATATTTTCTAAATTTTACAATGATTACGGTCTTTTGATCATTAGTAAAAGCTTCTGTCCAAATTTCATAAAATTCTATGAAGGATTGTCATAGTTATTGATGTCTGAAAAACTTTAACCATAGATTGTATCTTGATGTTAACTGCGAACAAACTAAATCCATTTATCAATTAAATACATCATAAAAATTAAAAAGAAAGCTTCCCTCCAAGATTCATAAATTTCACAAAATGATTGACGAAGTTATTGATGTCCAAAAATTAAACCACAGACTGAACCTTAATGTTGAAATCGCCGCCGACGGAATGTAAAATCGGTATGTGTCGCTTTCGCTACAAAGAGTCACAAGCTCGACAAAAATGACACAACTTTGGTTAAAACAGACTTCAATAGAAAAGGAATCAGCGGTTTGAGACAGGTCTGTTTATTTTACTGTGTATGTACCATTTGTTGGATTGTCCAGTATTTTGTCTCTTCCAGCAAAGAGTCAAATCTAATCGGAGATTGGTAGTATCTTTTTATCAGGAATTGAAAAAAGTCAAATTAAGTTAAACATGGCAATATAAAAATAACTGCAACTTAACTTAAAATTTAGAATACTGTATTTCTTACACTGTAAGAGTAAGACTGGTGGGACCCATATGAAATGAATTGACCGTAATGAGAACCAAACTATAAAATAGTCTTAAGTCATCATACATAGAACCTTTAAGCAAAATAAAGCCATCAAAATAATCTAACATCCAGATACACAAGTAATAGAAATATATCCCTAACAAGGAGATCCAAATAACAAAAAAAAATCAGAAGTGAGATAAGAGCAACTGAGACAGCAACTTAATTAATGACACACAAACCAAAAAGACATTTATAGGTCAAAGTATTGTCCTAAAAAGACAAGTGTCAAGCATAGTCTTATAATACAGTTCTACGCAAACAATTTGACAGTAAACAGGGCTCTTCCTTTTCTGTCTGTTTCCATACCATCATCTTAATTCTTGTTTTCTCTTACATTACATTGAATCAAATATAACTTGCAATTATTCAGCCAAACTATAGGTCTCTAAAAACAAAAGAGGGTATTTTTTTATTTGCAATCTGGACCCGAATGATTGAGTGCTGCATAATTCAAATGAGTGAAAACTTACCATCATGAGACATTCCTACTGCCAAACACTTTTGATATCTACAGAATGAGCAAGACATTCTTTTACCACCACCAAGCTTACATTTCTTGTCCTTAAGGCATTTGTATTCTTCTTTTTTCTTCATTTTGACAATGCAGCGACGAAAAAATCCCTGTAAAAATGCACGTAAAAATGTAACATGTGTCACCCCTTCACTATTTTGTGTGCCACTTTTTGAGCCAAAACTTCTTATCTCTTCGGAGCATTTAAGTTTTCCCCCACTATGTTCAAGTTTAATATTTTTGTGTTGCTCAGTCTGTATACCTGAGTACAATACAAGACCGAGATGATCCGAAAAAAAGATACTTCCTAACGGTATTTTCAAAAACTGATATGTGTCACTCACTGAATGTTAGTGATCTATCAATAGGAACTCCGTTTTTCTCCTTCAATAAAAATAAACATACCACCGTGAAATTTTATAAAAAAAATTAAAAATTGATATGATTTCCGTGCGCACAAAATATGGAATGAGGGCATACAAATGAAAAAGAATCAAAATCGTCGTGGTCGTAGTAATCGTCATCATCATCATCATCATCATCATCATCATCATCATCATCAACATCATACCAGGCTTATAACTTTGTATGCCAGATGCGCGTTTCGTCTACAAGAGACCATTCAGTGACGCTCGACTTCAAAAAGTTTAACAGCCAAATAAAGTTTCGAAAGGTTTTGCCAAATACACATAAAAGTGTTAGCACCTCAATGCTAGATTGATGCATGATCACCTTTTTGTTTGTTTACAATCGTCATTTAAAGGCGACAAAAACTGAAACTTGTTGCCTTCTTGTGAACCTACCTTACAGGGTTCACAGGTATTAGCACCATAATGCCATCCAGAGGCCTTTTCTTCACATACTCGACATGGAGGTAACAAGCTGCTGTCTGGTGGGCAATTTCCCCATTTTTTATGAATGTCTTGCACGCCATTTGATCCTTCTTCATTTTCAGTAAATCCGCTATCTACAGAACCAGCTGAACTCAGAGGTGAAAAATCATCTGTTTCTGTAATCGTCTGTTCATTTTCTACTGAAGTGAATAAATCACATCCTGTCGCCATACTAATATATTAATATTTTCCCTGTATGCCTAATGTCTAAAACAAAATGAAAATAAACACTTAAATATAAACTTTATGCAACCGAAGCTCTTTTCTGGATTTACCTCCAGGAATTCTCGAAATCAAATATTTTGAAAGCCAAGGATGTATAAGAACCGATAAAATCAAAGAGCTATATGACCAAAAAGGACCTAAAAATGAAAGTCAAATCCATCTAAGGTCAACTTTACCTGAAGGAGTTAGAACCTTAGATTTTTAATAATTTATCAATTTATAAACCGACAATTTAGGAAAGTTATATAAGAAATCATGTCAGTCCTGAAGTACTGACTATTGAAATAATGATTTTCTAGAAGACTAATAGTCCACCCCAAGCGGTTTGGTAAATGAAATGTCCAACATGAGGGTATCCAAATTGCACCTATTTTGACAGTTTCTTCACCTACGTTTTGTTACATATGTATGATCCAGACAAAAGTTTCCATTCTGTGTTTGTTTTGTAGAAGTATCCTTATTTACTATATAGTTACACCAATTTAATTTTGAATCCATATTGAATCATAGAAAAATGGGTTTGAACCGACCTCCAAACGATCCATGATTCTGTAATGTGAAGTAACCAAATTGCATCCATGCTTAAATTCACATCCTTAAAACTGGAATAACAGATGTTTTGCTTTATATCTTCAAATTATTAGAACAATTTGACACTAGTCCATGCTTACTATTCTTTTTTTATGAAATGGATGTAACATATTTTATTTGCTCATTTTTAAAAGATGACATTTCCGTAGATTTTACCTTTTCCAGTGAATACTATATTTGTTGATACGGTATATACTGTGAACGTTTTGTGTATATCTAAATATATTTACCTATGTTGAAAGACGTGTATAATTTCATAAAAATTCGTAAGGGTTCCGCGGAACCCAGTGTCTCGCCTACTTTTGCTGTTAATCGCAGGCTCAACAAAAATGAGGAAAAAAATCAATAAAAATATTCCTTTAGATACTATCTTTTGATTGTAAGAAGCTTCTGTCAAAGTTTGGTATAAATCCAGGATAGTTTATGAATCTAATAAATGTTTTAAAAACTTTAACTGCAGACTGTATTTAATGTTAACTGGAAGAAAAACTAAGACCATTTATAAGTAAAATACGGATAAACCGGTACAAAATTTTAACAAAATTTCCTTCTAGATACTAGCTTTTCATCATAAACAATCTTCTGTCCAAGTTTGGTACAAATCCAGGATAGTTTAAGAAAGTTATTAAAATTTTAAAAACTTTAACCACAGAGTAAACGTATTGTTACCTGGCAGAAAAACTAAGTCCATTTATAAGTAAAATACGGTAAAAATGAAATTTTTTTTTAACAAATTTACTTCTGGATACTATCTTATGATCATAAACGAGCTTCTGTCCAAGTTTGGTAGAAATCCAGGATAGTTTAAGAAAGTTATTAAAATTTCAAAAACTTTAATAACCACAGAGTGAATATTTGTGGACAACGCCGACAACGCCGACAACGACGATGCCGACGGAATGTAGGATCGCTATGTCTCGCTTTTTCGACTAAAGTCGAAGGCTCGACAAAAATACAAATTGTTCAGTCTCAAAGAAAACTTGTAAGATTTCCACTGCTATTTTTGCTGAATAGATGCAATTTGGGTACTGTAACGTCATTCATCATTTATTGAAACTGAAATCATTTTCAATCAATTTGGTGCTGTTATATGCTGGTTAAACTGTTATTAAATGTCTCTTTTGTAACTATAGATGTATTTTAGTCCGTTATCATTGTTTATATAGAATTAGTACCTTTTTAATTCAATTTGAATTTGAAAACCTTTTTCCAAATTATAAATTTCTATTTTAATAGCAATCAAGATTGGGCCTCAGAGCAGGAACATATATATTGACATACTGTTCTCAACTCAGAGTTACTAATGAAACTATCCGCTCTTGAGGTGACTGAAACAGATGATGATGCTAAACAGTCCAAAGATCTGTAAGATTGTATACGTTCTATGTCCTTCTACTTTATGAATTAAATGGCTCACATAGATACAGCATATTGTTTTATGAAAGGAGCAAAACATACTTTGTACGGTTTGATTTTTAGAAAAGCTATTACTTGTCAAGAAAATGAACTATTAATAGCCTGATAAAAAGTTCCGTGTTTAGATCGAACGTGGTAAAATATGATCAAATATATAATTTACTCAAATCAATATGTTAAGTTATAATCCATTTTTTTAGTATAAACACAATGAATCATAAAGTATATTATTAATAGGATTAATACAATATATACGGGATAGGTTTATATAATATATACATGTAGGTCGTCATCGTGAATATCGATCCGGTTGAAAAGGTGGACTTATTAATATTATATTCTTATGACACATTCAATACACTGCATATCAGTGATAACATGTCAGATTTCCCTTTGACTATTAATTAAGGAAACATTTTGTTATGAAAAAAAGTATATAATAAATATAACTTTTTGTATGGATAAACTTACCAAATACTTTTCGTGTTATCTCAGTCCAACAAGACTATAGTGTGTGATCACGTGACTTTTACGTATTAATTGTTTACCCATACGGTCTAGTTACTGAATAACGTACTAAATTATGAACTTGAAATAATGTGTACACAAGACCTGTGTCGTTTTGTTTCTTGCTTTCTTATGTGTTTTACTCCGCAGAGAAAGCCAGAAGCTTAACCAGATTTCAATGCTCTTCGACTTTCTGATTGATTGTGCCTTCTGTTTTGATTCGAGTGCCACTGGCGAGTCTATTAATGTGTCCGTCGTACTTACTTGTATATAAGCCTGCTATCTTTAATGAGGTTTTTTAGTATTCTTAATTCCTATCGATACATCTTCTTTTTTAAAAAAAACAAAACTATTTTATTTACTCTTAATGGGAAAATCTAAGCTAAAAAAATCTTTTCAACTTCGTATTTGAGCTGGTTTTCGATCTGTTTTGATTCGAGCTCAACTAATGAATCTTGTCTAGAAGAAACGCGCGTCTGGAGAACCGATATCATTAACGGTACAAATTATAAGCCTGGAATCTTTGATGATTTTTTAAAGCAAGATATTATGGTGAATGCTAAAGATATATTGCAGTAGTTAACGTTTAGGAGAAGTTCATTCAGCCATTTGATCTTATTGTATGATTAAGCATAGATGTATACATCTATGGATTAAGTATAATAAATGCAGGATATTCAATCACATTAAATGACATCTTGGTGTAAATGTAAGAAAGCCTTCACTTAAATGAGGAAGATAATACCTGTTAAAAAATGACGATGTCCGTTAGGTATTAACATTGTTAAACAGCATCACTTTTTTTCAAAATCAAATTAATCAAATGATTGTTCGATCTGAGTAACAAAATAAGCTAATATACGGAATTTTTAATTTAGGACGTCGTAATGTATGCAACAATGGAACGTGGTATTCATTTTTCAAGTAATGTTTTTAATTGTATACATATGTAAGTATCAGTATGCAAGTTAAAAACACTGAAAGACCATTAAAATAAGGATATGATGTATGATTGCCAATGAGACAGCTATCCACCAAAGTTCAAATGAAGTGGAAGCAAGCAATTATAGGAAACCAAACGGCCTTCAACAATGAGAAAACCCATACCGTATAGTCGGCTATAAAAGGCCCCGAAAGAAAACTTGATATGAAACAATTCAATTGAGAAACTGACTACGGCCTAATTTATAACAAAAGAATATACGAAAAACAAATATGACAGAAAGCAACCAACGACAACTACTGAACTACAGGCTCCTGACTTAGGACAGGCACATAAAGAATGTGGCGGAGTTAAACATGTTTGTTAGCGCTCAACCTGACCTGACTGCTGAATCTGGACCACAGCACAATGTCTGGTCGGAGGGTTGTTGTTAAAATCTCTCTTGGGAAGGTGGTCTTTCCCCCAACGTCGGCTTGCATCTCCCAGGCCAGTCATTTGCTGTTGCTAGAATACCACTGGCTTTGCTGTATGTGTTTCTTGATGACTCTCCACCTCCTTTGATGAAGTTGATGAACTTTGGCTCCTTCTCTATCTATGTCTTCTTCCTCCTCTGTGTTTCCAAGACTGCTGCTATCTCTCGAAGGACTTGTTCATGGCGCCATGTATATCTACCATCCTTCAGAGCTGTCCTGCAAGACGACAAAACATGTTCTAGGTTTACTGGCTCACCGCACAACTTACAACCAGGGTCTTCAATCAGTTTCCACATTGTAAGGTTTGTGGGTGTTGATAGTACGTCGTATACTGATCTTAGTAGGAAGCTTATCTTCTGGCCGTCCATTCTCCACATCTCATGACAACTGATCTTTCTTGGTCTTGTCATTTCCCATTTCATATATTGCCCTTGTTGTTTCATACTGACGGCTCTTACTTGTCGATCTTCTTCCCCACGACGAACTTCTTGCTGAACAAGTTCCCTGCTATGTCTTGCATCTGCTGACTGCCATAATGGTTGCTGAATGTTGCCAAAACCAAGTCGCCCTGATGTTACCACTTCCACTATGTCTCTATGTCTTAATCGGCTCTCTGCATCTTCAACAGCGCTCTTGGCCAACCATTTCCTTCCTGTCCTGACATCAACATTTGCCTCTTTCACCTTGTCATCTTTACTGTCTCTTAGCATCATAACTTGTCTGGTTTTGGTGACTTTAAACTTCTCTGTAATAGAAGACAGTGGTAGTTGAAGTTTTGAACTGGTGCTGTACAAACCAATGCTGCTAAAACTCTATGGAACCCAAAACCATTTGCGTAAGTATATGTTGAACATCCTCTCTAAACTTTCAACTTTGGTTAGAGGTACTTCGTACATCAACAGAGGCCATGTGATCCTTGGTAATATTCCATGCAGATAACATCTTGCCTTGTACTTCCCAGGTAAACCAGAATTGTCAATAATGTCCATCCACTTTCCTGCCTGTGATACCGTCTCATCTACACTTTCTCTGTCGTTCAAGGAGTCTCTAAACCACTTGCCCAAGCTTTTGACTGGTTTCCCCATGATTTTTGGAATGATGTCTCTTCCAATTCTGATCTTTCGTCCTGCACCTTTCCTTTCTTCAATATCAGAGTCCTTGACTTTGAAGACTGGAACTTCATACGTGCCCAGTCTATAAGTTCACCTAGATCTTGCAGCATCCACTTGCCTTCCAGAACTGACTTTGCTGTTATTGTCATGTCATCCATGAATGCTCTTGTTGGTGGCTGACTGACCCCAGATGATATTATAGGTCCTCTGCTCATCTTCTCTGCTGATTTTACTAGTAGATTCATTGCTGCTGAGAATAACACTACTGATATGGTACATCCTGTAACAATTCCCACTTCTAGCCTTTGCCACGCTGTTGTGTAGTCTGCAACTGTAAACCTCATTATAAAGTTGTTAAAATAGTGCTGAAGCATTTCTCTAACCTTACCAGGTATGTGGTATTTCTTCAAGGTTAAGTGTACTAGCTTGTGTGGTATACTTCCGTAAGCGTTTGCCAGGTCTATCCACAGGACAGTCAAATCGCCTTTGTTCTCTTTGGCTTCCTGGATAATCTTTGTTAAAACGCTTGTATGTTCGAGGCACCCTGGTACACCTGGTACTCCACCTTTCTGAACTGAGGTGTCGATATAGTTGTTCTCAAGCATATATTTTGTAACTCTCTTTGCCAAGATTGCAAGACAAACCTTTCCCTCGACGTTGAGAAGTGATATGGTCCTAAACTGTTTCAGGTCTTTAGAATCTTCCTCCTTTGGAATAAAACAACCATCTGATTTTAACCACTCATCTGGTAACAGATATCTTCTCCATATAACTTTGATAAGTCTCCATAGTTGTTTTGAGAGGTTTGGACAGTTCTTATAAACTCTGTATGGAATACCGTTTGGTCCTGGTGCTGATGCTGCTCTCGCCTTCTTTAAAGTTGACATCACTTCATGAAGTTTGGGTTCTGACATTTCAATCTCTATTGTTGGCTCATCTGGACTTATCAATCTGTGTTAGTCTCCGAGCCCTTGTTCTCTCTCTGGATCACTGTGAGTATCTCTCAAATATTGTTCAACCTCTTCTTTTGGGCAATCTAACCGACCTGATCTTTTAACTCCTAAAAGTTTCTTCACAAAGCCAAATGGATTAGCTGTAAATTGCGATCTCTTTCTTGCTCTCTCCCTTCGGTTCTTTCTAAGGTTCTCTGCTCTCCTCAGCGTTTGTATTCTTTCCCTGTTGACATCTCTTAGCTCTTGTAATGCCTTTTTTTTCGTGTACCTCTGCTTTCTTGAAGGACTTTGTTAAGTTGCGTTGTTCTCTCCTCAGTCTGGTAATTTCACTTACTCTTCTGTTCTCTTTCGTGGCCTGACTTTTACCTTTTTTCTGTTCTTCCATTCCAAACCTGTCTTTCCCCATTGCGTAGATGATTGCTTTGATCTTTCTGTCTACATCTCCTGCCAATGCTGATTGTAACACTTTTGATGCATCTTCATCAAAATGGATCCACTCTTTCTTTGAAGCTGCTGTTGGCCACTTAATCCGTGGTGTTGGTGGGTCTCCTTCTTTCCCTTGATGTTTCTCTCCTTTCTGTTGACTGTTAAGATTCATTCCTAACTGATCATGAGCTTCTTTTTCTTCCATGACTTCCTCCTCTTGTACATGGAGGTGTCGAACACTGTGGTGTGTTTCCTGGTTCATCTCCTCCTCCGTCTCATCAGGTTGCCCTTTGCGTCGTTCAAGAATTGGTGTCACTGAACAGCCCATCTTTGTGCGATGAATCTTAAGTCCTTTCTCATTCTTGCATATCTTCCCACAACAACAAACTCTAGATGTGTCCATTTTCTGTCTAGTTGTCCGTGTTTCAGTTCCAGTTGTTTCCTTTGTCTCTCCTGTTCTCATGGGGGTGTTTTATTATGTATCTGTCCATAGCAATGCTCAAAGCTCTCCATTGCTGGAGTTATACTCAGGTCTGTCAAACCGTTGTATGCCTTGGTACCGGTCTTCCCCGGTTGCCAACCGTCTTTCCTTGTTGTCACCATCCTATCCATGGTTGCCAATTAGTCTTTCCTAATAGTCACTGGAGTCTCCAGAATACCTTAGATACAGTGTTTCCACTGCTCAGCTGGTTCCATCATCAGGTGGATCCCCTCTCCTCGACTGTTTCGGCGCTGTCCACGACAATCTCCAGGGGGTGCGCCGACTGAGTTGATCAGGCTCAGCCAGGGTAGAGTTGTTGATTCAGTGACTACGTGTCATATGCTCACTAAGCGTCAGATGTCTCATGGAGTGGAACATTTCCGATTCACAGTGATCAGGGCCGTAATTTTAAGAGAAAGGTTATTCAGTAACTGTGCAGATTAGTAGCATAAAAAAAAGTCACACACGGCGCCGTATCACCCGCAAAGGAACGGTTAGTGCGAGCGCTTTAACCAAATCCAATTGGAAAGTGTATGTTGCACCTTTAGTACACGCTTAAAATGCAACAAAACACAAGACAACTGGATACAGCCCACACTATCTAATGTTTGGTTGGCACCCGCGGCTTCCCATTAACGCTTTTATAGGC